TCAGCCTTTCGTGATATCCCACACGACCATATTTTCCCCTGAACTGGACGAAGTCGGGCTTTACTCCGAGGCTGTTGTCAAGGTTTTGTTCTAAGCTCTCGTAAGACGCAGACCCTCACTACTCCCCCCTTCTGACCATTCGTGGTTTGAATATATAGGGGTCATTGCCTCGTTGCAATCGATACGCCGCCGGATCAGCTTCTTCGGCACAAGTGATACCTGGAGCGCAGACTGTTTAAATGATTGTCTTTCAGATGCTCATGTAGCCCACAATGTTGTCGAAGAGGAAACCTTCTTGGTATGGCGCAAGTGAAATGGCCAGGTATTGTCTATCAGCGCCTCGATTGCGTTCGTCATCGTGCTCGGCAAAGCGCATGGGCGAAAAGCATCCACTTCATCTTGGAGCGCCTTCCTTTCCCATGTATTACTCACAATACTCGCTGTCCGAGAAAGATATTTAGCAAGGTTCCTCACGGCAGATTCCCGCGTCATACTTCGGTTGTGAATCAAAGATGGCTTCAAGAGCCATGTGATGCGATTACGAGCTCTCGATGCCCAAAGAGAGAGCACATTGCTTTGCCCGGTGTCTCTAGATCTGGTAGATAACTCCTTATATACTACAAACTCACGTTGAGAGCTTGTTCATGTCTTGTAGACTGCGGAATGAGTTCCTCGTGTAGGCTCACTGGGTGTATATATACTAAAGAAGAGTTAACATTCACCGGCTCTCTCAGGCAATATTGAAAAATGTGCCCCCCTTTCATCCAGTTATCCGCTGGGCTATGAAGCCTTAGATCCAGGCATGATTATACGGTCTGCCTGTTTGCACCTATGACAGACGCTCAGCTGCATGTCTCTGGTGGTCACCATTTTTGCTGGCCAAGCGAGTATACCAACATGTATATCAAGTCTCCGACTATGCCACCCCAGCAACAGGGAGAATGTTTCTAGGCAAGCTCGCGTCTAATGATACCGGAAACAACTTATGTTCACAGGACACTATTGGCCTAGACATTATACCGGATTAACCTGATTGTCGCGGTGATGAAGCTTGTATAGCTGGACAAGACTGTGGCGTTTTATAGTTCCCAATACCTTGATACTTGTCAGCGAGATTGCGGCGGCAACTACATGGTGTCGACTCCAGACCAACTTTATGCTAGAGACCCTGCCCAAGTCGCATCGAATGTAGAAGACGCTTGGCTGCATTTATAGTACGTTGACCTCGCAGGTTGTGTTTGTATAGCATCAAAATGGGTCCCACTCCAGGCGGCTCGCCCTGGGGCGTGGCTGGGATGGGAGCGGCAGCCGTGGGTGCCATTGTTCTTATGTCTACGAATATATTTTGAGACCTTTTGTTCAGGTTGTATTTACATACAAATGAACATGAGACAGTAGGAATGCCGAATGAGAAGTAGCGAAAAACCTCTGAACCAAGTCTTTCAGTTCGTGACTTGAGACTGACTAGAGCCAAAACCGAGAAACGGAATATGCTCAATCGAAGGAGAAAGTGAAGTGTGGTCCCGGTCGATTCTGGTTTGCTGCCGATGAAAGCAATTTGCTGGCCTTTTATCAAGGCTACAGCTTGCCATGGATGCTTACCACCATGTCTACATAAAGCACATCACTTTCTACAGAAGATCGAAAGAGGTTTACGCAAAGATCAACTCCTCGGGTGTTCCTGTAGGACAAGATCAATGGTAGGCAAAGTGTCTTAAGCTACACGTAGCCAGTTCACCACTTATCATACGATGATCAAACTGAGGATTTGGGCGGCATCGTTTCAACAAGGGCTGAATACCTAATAAGAGATACCAATGATGAGTAACAGACTAACATATTGAACGGGATCTACTCTCCTTTCAGATGACAGGAGCTTCTGTCGTAAACTCACAAGTCAGTAGGTATCTATGAACTACGCAAACTGCAAGTGAGGGAATGGTGTTCTCTCATTGTCTGCTGGACTTATGTTCTATCCCTCGTCTGTCTTTGAGTACCCTTTCTCAAAGGGACCTCCTCTATCACGAATCTCTTAATGATGCGTATGATCCAAGACGGAGCGTATCTCTTTGGTCGTACTAGATATCGCCCCCAAAGCCTGATACAAGTTCATTCGACCCCTGGTTCGTCGTCGGGTTTTCTTTTCTTTTTCTTTCCTTTTTGTTCTCCCCAGTATGTATTCTCAGTGGCAGATGGTGCGGCCTTCATCAGAAAGCAGGCTACATGATAGTGCCCCTGAAATTTTGTGGTAGACCATCGTGTGCTATAAGCTTCCACCGTTGATACTTCATCGTGGAATACGTGACGGACGACGAAGACCTAATTCTCAAGAGTATATCGGCAAATAAGAAGTCGTCAGTGACGCTTCACACATGAGTCGAGATCATGGTTTACTATAGTGCCCCCACTGCGATAGATTATAGTGAAGAAAACATTCCTCCGCGCCGACGTTGATTTTCGTGGAGCATGACGCTGATACAGGAGGTTCTTTACTAATTGTCGTACACAGGGTCTGGCCTGAAGTTTCGGGCAGTCGACATGCGTGGGTACTGAATCTCGCGAAGCCTTATTATTCAGAATCTAAACTGCGGATGAGTTTCTCGTGCTTTATATAAGACATCGTTCAAGACGACCGGGTCTCGAATCATTATATCATAGGTGAGTACCGCCTGAATCGTCTTCGACGAGAAGACATGTCGACCATACATTTCCCTTCTTGATAGCAAAGAAATCCGACCCCATCAGATGGATCTCGAGACAGCTTGTGTTCTCTAGCGTTTCTTTTGTCTTTGAGTCATTGCTGTAGTATACAGAAACGGTTCTGGCGGCGTGAAACCATATGTGCCTGCGATTGCTGTATACTACTGTGCCTTATGTTTGTTGCTCTCTTACTGAATGAATCGAGAATCGATTTGAGACAATTCCATTTGATCTACTTCACAGAATGCCATCTTTCTGTCTTCTTTATGATGAAAGTGCTGGTGAAGCGAGCACACAACTATGGTCTTTGTCGATCAATGAGCATTTCCCATAAGCGTAAATGGATTACTGGCTGAAATTTACAACCTGTTTGAGTACTCGTCTCTCTAGTAGATAAGGTCTAGTTTCGCACATCTAGGCTGAACGAAGTAACATGTGGGTGCAAAACCCAAAGCGCAGACAGAAGGGTAAGTCTCAAACGAGGAGAACATAGCTTGTTGTTCTGTTCAACATCTCCACTATAACAACAGTATTCCACAGATGAATATATCCACAGCGAACACGGAGTCACTTGAACGTCGTAAGGTGAATATCAAGTTGTAAAATAAAGCTCAATTCATGGACTTGATTCCTTGAATGAAACACTAATGGATGCAAAATATATGCTCAATTTGCTGTATTCTTCGTTCTGTTTAGAGCAGACGAGCTTGTTTTTATGAACGCCTTTGGGGAACCCTCAGTTGCATTAAGTGTCGGATTCAAAAGCCACAAAGCGTCACCGGATATAAGTCATATGAAGTATACGTTTTCAGTTCTTTCTCATCCAAGTCTCCGAGTCCTCTTGAATGATCTGCTCTCGAAAAACGAAATCGAACCTTGGCCATGAAGGGTGAAGGTCAGGGGTGTACATCTGAAGCCGCGGTCATGGCGGGGACCCTATCCAAGAATACAGTCGAATGAACGAAGAGAGAGTTTGAAAAACGGGCATGTCAGGCTAGGTACCGATGCTGTTAAGACGGGATGAGTGCTATTTTCGAGTGTGGATGATCTTGAGCGATACTTGCCGAACAGTCAGAAACAACCTCTCGATTCTCTAAGCTTTGAAGTGATTAGTGGAGAGCATGGCTAGATATGAATTGCCGTGTCAATGACGACGCAGGCCTCCTTTCAGAGCTGCGACTGATCTCAACGAGGATCATTAGACGCAGGCATCTTGACAGGAACGTCTTCCTATACGCTTTGCAGAAGAGTATAAAAGTCCATGCGGGAGAAGAAGTTGATGTCTGCAACAACCAAATGTTGTTGAACGCTGTTGCTGCAGCATGCACTACAACTTGGAAGATGGGGCTGAATGTGGTTGTGGCCTGACTCCACAGCTCTCAAAGTCCGCAAAACACCGTCTCATAATCAAGATGGCCTTTTCCGGTGTTGTCGAAAGAGTATTCGTCAACTTCGCTGCTGTGTATTTCATGATTCCCCATAAGTCAGAGTACGTCTGAGCAAACTCAACCCGCATACTAGAACCAGTGAACCGACTTCAGTTGCAACCAAGCTTCTATGCCCTGCAGCCCAACTTCTGCCCAAATTATGATTGGCGTTGTGGCATCATTTTGACCCTCCTTCTATGGGTTGTTTATCCCAACCTATTTTGTGGAGTTGCCGCAGATGTCTGCGGGCACCAGTACCATGATTCCACACACGTGAGCTAAGTGAGGAAATGGGAAACTTCATTTGTCTGTAGCCTCTGAAGCTATGTCTCCTCGGTCGTTATTTCCTTCAACTACATACTGGTAGTCTAGAGAGTTGGTCAGGTGAGAAAGGCAAGGAAAAGTCCCTAGAGGCATCCCGCGTGGCTTATTGAAAGCTTTCAAGACGTCGTTCGTGTGTGAAATTTCTTCAACCCAAGGTATCCCGGGGACCACACATAGCAGCATGTCAGCGGAAGTCTAAAGAGCATGCAGAGCACGTCCCCAGAGGACCCTGAAGAGTCAGTTCCAAGCACAACAGAAACAACAACGGGAACGAGTTTCATCAGCACGTGCCAGGCATGTCGTCAGCGTCACATGTTCGATTGAACGTGTCATCATTCGCGACTTCAGAAAGATGTCGTCGTGGGCAGCGCGTTGCATAGTAAACCGCAAGATGGAAGGGACTCGTCATCACATCGCCAGCGCAATTGAGCAATAATTCTATTGATTCATATCATCAAGGTCTCCCCAGAGCAAGCTATCACGCCGCATCATTACAGCTCGTCTTCTCTCACACAAGGTATCAATTTGGTCACTTCCTCACGCTCGCACTTATTTCTTCTCCAGCTCCTCGAGGATGGGCTTCTCGAGGCTCTCGGGCTTGGTGGTGCTCGCCCAGCGGCCCTTGACCTGGCCGTCACGGCCGATGAGGAACTTCTCAAAGTTCCACTTGATGCGCTTGAGGCCCATGATGCCGGGCTTCTCCTCCTTGAGCCACTGGAACAGAGGGTTCGCGTTGTCGCCGTTGACGTCGGTCTTCTGCATGATGGGGAAGGAGACGCCGTAGTTGACCTGGCAGAAGTTCTGGATGTCGTCGTCGGAGCCGGGCTCCTGGCCGCCGAACTGGTTGCAGGGGAAGCCGAGGATGACGAAGTCGTCGCCGTGCTTCTCCTTGATGTCCTTCCACAGCTTCTCGAGGCCGGCGTACTGCGGGGTGAAGCCGCACTTGGAGGCCGTGTTGACGACGAGGACGACCTTGCCCTTGTAGTCGGCGAGGGGGACCTCCTGGCCGCGCTCTGTTTGGGTGGGAGACGTGGTCAGCAATGCATGATTGGGGCGGGATGCAGGTACGCGGCACACTGGCAGAGGGAGCGCGCGTGGGAGAGGTTAGGTGACGTACTGTCAAGCGGCTTGAAGTCGTAGAACTTGGTCGCGGAGGCCATTGTCGCGAATGTTTTGATGCTGTGGTTGTGTTGTTTTTTCGCAAGAAAGAAATTACCCCGCTATCGGAATGTCGTCAGTATGCACACTACAGCGCAGCCGGTTCCGCAGTGGATTGCGGGAGGGTAGGAAAACACACATGTGGTACAGAGGTTGGGATTAGTTTGTTTGCGAGGATGGAAGAAGGCGGAAAGTTAGGCTGCGGAGGGAAGGCGTGTTTAAGGGAGGGAGAAGTCGGAAACGTGTGTGTAGTAATGCGACGAAACATGCCACGCGTGACGATGAAATGCATCGGTAGGTGAGCAACGGTAGTACTTGTATACATTTGTGTTGGATGTTCGTCCTGCCGGGACGAAGTTTCAATCCGGTTTCCAATGGGGCCCGGACGCACGGGGCGTGCACGCCTTGCACTGCCGCTGTCTCTGTGATGGAACCCTGGACTTCTATTTGCATTCCATTGCTTTCAGCGTTCGTTGGCCGCTAAACTATTTACACAGTTGGAGGGGCCCAACATGTACTCAGTCAGGATGCAACTGGCCAGGGCTGCTGTCGGCTGTGACGGGGTCTCGGTCAGGAGTGGGGCCCCGCCGTTGCGATTGAGGCGGGAGGGTCCTGTTGCTCTTCATCGACCTCGGTACGGGACCCCTGACCCGAGCTTTTTGTTCAAACTTCGCTCCAGCCTGCCCCAGACGTCGACAGTACGGATACGTCGCAGCTTTGGTTTCTGGCTGTTCCGGATTACTAATTGCAGCAAGTGATGGCTCAACGGTGCTATTCATTACTCACTCCTGCAATGTTGCGCCACATCCTCAATAGCCATGGTGCGATATGATAGAATCGACAAACTTCACTCCCAAAGACCTCACACGCCGGCGAAGCTGTCATGTGAGAGTGGACCCAATCGGCCCAATGCGTTGTCCCGGTCGCCGAGTCCGTTGCGTCCAGTCTGGATCTGGACCGGGTCCTCGATGCTCTTCAATTCCTCTCTTCGGCGTAGTCACGAACAGGACCTCTCAGCTCCGGGTCTTCCGTCCCGGCCGAAGACTCCAACTAGAGGCAACTAGACCGAAGGTGCACGGCATCCCGCTCCATTGGATCGCCGCCCACATCCCATTGGACTAAGCTCAATCCTCCCCGGCGCCGACCTTCTCATTGGATGTAGAGATGCGGATCAATGAAGCACCTGCCCCGATATGACTTGCGCCCAACAAACTCCCGCCGAGGTGATTTCCAGATCTGGACGGCTTGCTTCCCCCATCTTGCAGTCACCTCAGCCAATGGTCTCGGGCCAATTACTGACCCGAGGACGAGCATCGCTCTCAATCCCGCAGCTGGTTCCCGTCTCGAACCACTCAAGTCGACTGGTAATTGTTAATTCCGCCCTGGCCAACAGCTGCACCCCGCTGCTGCTTTATCGATAACGGAAATCTACCCCGCCTGAGTAATAGCACCACACCACCGAGCCTGCAGCTCACCCGGCCCCGCGGTGACGACACCGAAATGACATCCCCCGTCAAGAAGCCTCCGTCAACGGCCAGATCCAAATCAAAAAAGTCCGCCCTGCAGCAACGCGCCAAACTCCTGCAAGAGGCATTGAACCTCCCTCAACCTCCAACAATGGACCCCCAAGCAAAGCGCAACATCGTCATCGTCGGTACGTCTCCCACCAACCCTGACTTCCCTCCCTTCCCTCATGCGCCCCTGAAGCTAAGCACCGTCCACAGGTGGCGGCATCATCGGTTCCACAACAGCCTACTTCCTCACCCGCCACCCGAAATACAACCCCGCCCTCCACCGCATCACCATCCTCGAGGCGTCCTCCGTCGCCGCCGGCGCCTCGGGCAAGGCAGGCGGCCTGCTCGCCCTCTGGGCCTACCCCTCCTGCCTCGTGCCGCTGTCCTACCGCCTCCACCGGGAGCTCGCCGAAGAGCACGGCGGCGAGAAGCGATGGGGCTACCGGCGCGTGCAGTGCGGCAGCTTCGAGGCGCGCATATCCAAGACGAAGCTCGAGAAGATCAGACAGGCGACCGCCGCCGTCAAGCCAGGGATTCTCGCGCCCGGCGCAAATGACGAGGCGCAGGAGAAGGACTGGGAGAAGCTGCCCAAGCAGGACGAGAAGGCCGAGGCGTTGCTCGAGGAGTCGGTGCTCCCTCGCGATCTGGACTGGATCGATCGCGGGGCCGTAACGTCATACGCGGAGATGGGCTCCCCCGGCGCCACGGAGACGGCGCAGGTGCACCCCTTCCACTTCACGACCTCCATTGCGGCGCTGGCCCAGGAAAAGGGCGTCGATGTGCGGACCATGGCGCAGATGAAGAAGATTCACTCCCCGAGCGGCGGGTTGCACAGCGTGGAGTATCTCGACCGCGAGTCCGGCGAGACGAGGACGATCGAGGATGTCACGGACGTGGTCGTCTCCGCGGGCCCGTGGACCGGGCGGCTGGTCCCCGGGTGCAAGGTCACGGGGCTGCGAGCGCACAGCGTAGTCTACAACGCCGATGTCAGCCCGTACGCCGTTTTCACGAGCATAGAGCTGCCCGCGGATTTCGTGCCGGAGCACCGGGCGAGCAAGGGCCAGAAGAGGAGGCACAAGAGGGTTGTTGACCCGGAGATCTACGCGCGACCCTTTGGTGAGGTTTACGCCTGTGGTATGTTCCTTCTCCTCTCCCCCTTATGCGTCTGAACGAGTGGCTGACGAAGGAGTGAAACAGGCGAACCGGATAAGAACGTCCCGCTCCCAGACACCGCGGACAAGGTCCAGGTCGACGAGGCCAACTGCGACGACATCATATCCTACATCGCCACCTTCAGCCCCGCTCTGGGCGCCGCCCCGATCAAGGCCAAGCAGGCATGCTACCTGCCTCAAGTCGATTATGGACCGCTTGTAGGCCCGACGTCGGTCCCCGGAATATGGGTCGCGTCTGGACACACCTGCTGGGGAATACAAAACGGGCCTGCGACGGGCAAGCTGATGTCGGAATATATACTGGACGGCAAGGCGACCAGCTCTGACATTTCCACGCTGGACCCCAGGAAATACAAATGTTAGACGGGCAACATCACGAGGCCTTGAGTGGCGTCCGTGATCGGAAAAGAATACGACGGGGCGAGGTTATAGACACTAGACAGCATGCGATGAATGAATGATTGATGACGTTGAAATTTCCCATAGATGTTCGGACTCCAGACCAGCTTCCTTATACAAAGCTTCCTCCTTGAATTGTCACTTTACCCTCACCGAATTTCAACAATGAGCACAACCGATACAACAAGAGTTCGGACACCCCTATGCAACAGAGAAGTAACAATCATGATTTCATAAATCTATTAACGAGTCCTTTGGATGCTAGTCATCAGGTGCACCGCTAGCCTGACCTGCACAGGCCCGGTGAATGCAAAACCCATCATCCCAATCGTAATATCCCAGCAACTCCCTGTTCGAACTATCGACAAAATGCCAACCCGAATGGTTTATTTTTTGAGCGAACTCTGGTACGGGGCTACCACGACCTCGGGGTATCATCGTCCCGGGTATTGACCCGAGATCGCAGCCCGGACCCCCACGGCCGTGATCGGTGGTTACCATGCCCCACCAATCTGCTATGCCGGAACTGGTCACCCGCACATGGGTTTTTTTGTTTGTGAATTATCCTGAGAATATTGAGAGTTCATCGTCTAAAGGGACTTCTCAATCTCCATGACCTCACGGATGCCCTCCTCGATTGAGGTAGTCCTGGCCTGCTCAAGGCGTCTGAGAGGACGTCTGGGGTATCCACCGTAGCCAAAGTAGCTCTGGATGGCGCCCTTGGTACCGGCAATGGCAGCCTTGGTCAGGAACCAATCGCCGCGGGAGAGCTTCTTCTGGAGCTCAATGGCCTCGTCACGCTTGCCCTCGGCGTACAGGTTCCACACCTTGACACAGACCTTGGGCATGACGTTGGCACCGCCGGCAATGATGCCGCTGCCGCCGCTGGCAAGGGTCTGGGCAGTGAAGTCGCACATGCCACCAAAGGCCATGTAGCCAGAGCCCTCAGACCAGGGAGTCTTGGCGTCGGTAGCCAGTGCAACACGGGTGAGCTTGCCAGTGTTACCGCAGGTGAACTTGGTGCCGATGATGTTGGGGTGCTGAGCGAGCTTGATGAGGAGGTCGCTGTCCATGTCGATGCCGGAGACGGCGCCGGGGTAGTTGTAGAGGACGAGGGGAATAGGACTCTGGTCGGCGACGGCGACGAAGTAGTCGTAGATGGTGGTCTCGTCTACCTGGGCGCGATAGTATGAAGGGGGGAGGATGAGGGAGGCCTCAGCACCAGCCTCGGCACAGGCCTTGGAGAGCTCAATAGTGCCGCGAACACTGCTCTCGGTGGCGCCGATCAGAACGGGGACGTTCTGGAAGCCGGCGGCGTCGAGCGCCTCACGGGTGGCCTTTGTGACGGCAACCTTCTCCTCTCGTGTGCAGTGGACAGCCTCGCCGTTGGAGCCCATAACAACCAGACCGGCGAGACCGGCCTTGGCCAGACGCTCAGCGTGTTTCTTGATGGTAGGGATATCGATATCTTCCGTCTCGGGGTTGAAGAAGGTCATGGTGGGGGCGTAGATGCCGACGGGGAGGCCGCGGCGGGCGGCGTTTCCATTGGAAGCAGTCATGATGGACTGAGAATGTGTGTGAAGATAGGAGAGTTGGTGAGAGACTGGCCGGGACTGGAGGGCAGGCAGGACAAGCTTGGAGGGGTAATGAGGGGTGGATGAACGTGAGCAGTAGTGGGAGGAGGCGGAAGGTATATTTATACGAGAGGAGAAAAAGAGGCGGCGAGGAAGGTTTGTCATGAGCTAATAGGCTTGCAGGCGTCTGCCTGCATGGGGTGGGATAAGTCTGGAAATAAATATTTGACGTGTCGCGAGGGACTGCTCGTGTGGACATTGGCCCGAACTATCGAACATCGTGTTGAGTCGAGGCCAAGACCGGAGGAGCTAACAGCATGTACTACGGGGCCGGCCATCCTGGGATGGGTGCTCCCTTGCACCCCGGTTGGGGGAGGGGGGACGTGGATCGGAAACTTGAGGA